ACCCTCCCACCACTGATTTGGATCACTTGTTGTTACCTTGTCCCTGGGTTTGTTAACACCATTTCCTTTCCCCCCACCTCCCTCAGCTTTCTTCCCTCTCTCCCATGTCCCCCAGGAACCGTCAGTCCCGTTGTTTTCTCCTCCAGATTGTTCTTCCAGCCTATCTTATTTAGGTAGACCTGCAGAGAAAATAACATGCACAAAAACAAGACAGAGCAAAGCAAAGCAACAAACAAAAACAAAACAACAACAAAAAGCAATGAAAAAAAACAACAACAAAGAAAGGCCATGTAGTTATTTCAAAGACTATTGGCCTTTAGGAGTGTTTTCCGATTGAGTCTGTTGGGGTGCCAAGTCCTGGCCCCCAAGCCTACTTTTTCGTATTCCCTGGGGACTTCTTTGCTCTGTTCCCCTCACTGTTCTGTTGCACGCCATTAGTGTTTTCAGTGACACAGATCGGGTGCTGTGTCAGATCCCACAGTTTCCAGTGTTGTCCCCTGTAGGGCTATGGGTCCTGTTTTATTTTTTACAACTTAAATTCCTGTCAGTACATACAAACCCTTGCTCCTAATTAGGAATATGACAACTACTGATATGTCTGGGCCTCACCCGTCCTCTTTTCTGAATGCACTTCAGTTTAGCCACAACTGCCCTGTGTATTTTCACAAACTGCAGTGGCTGCAATGCTCTTCCTCCTCCTTCCCAACTTTTCTCTAGGTTTTAAAAACTCTGTCAAGGTTTTTCATGTGCTTGAAAACTAGAATATTTTCGGTAGTTGCTTTGGAGCACAGACTACCTGGGATGTCTTAAACCCAGATGAATGCGGCCCAGGCCCAGGATGCATATGTGGCTTTAGACAATGGCCCTCCTCTGCTCCTGAGTCAGTGCTTTCAGTGAGGTGTGAACAAAGTCCCGTCCAGCGCAGGAGAGGGGCCTGGCTGAAGCCGAAGAGAAAGCACGGCTTACTGGTGGAAGGAGGCGGCTGGGCTGCACGTTGGCCCCAGCTTTCTCCAGTTTGTTGGTTTTCAGCTCTTCCTTTTTATGTAATGAGAGCAGAGTTGAGCAATCTGTTTGAGACGCAATCAAAGTAATTTCGTGTCCTCGGTAAAGAGTGGGTTATTCGTTTCACATTTCCTCCTCTGATTGGTCTAGCCAAGGAGGTTCCAGGAAACCCATTTATAGTAGGCAAAACTCATCAAATTAGCAGCCAGAATGCCCTCCACCCTTTTATTCCTCCAGTAAAGGGCATTTAACAGAAAAAATCTTTTTCGTTCAAGTCTTTAAAGCTAAGAAAAGGCTAAGAAATGTAAAGTGGCGCTCTTTGCTTTGATTATAAATGTGGTTCTGAAAGTAACCGCTAAGAAACCCCGATCCATCTATCTGTCTGCGTTGTGATAATTGCTCACCCAGGGCTGTCAAGCCAGTTACAGCTCATAGCCCCATAGGACGGAGGAGACGTGCCCAGAGTCTTTCCAATGCTCTGCTCTTGACAGAAGCAGACTGCCTGCCATTTCTTGCGCAGAGCCACTGGTGAGGTTATACCTCCGACTGTCTGATGAGCAGCCGCGTGTGCTGAACTACTGCTCCACCTGGGCTCCTTCTGTAATGAATCACTAAAGAACACATCTGGGCCCTAAGATGTGTTCTAAAGAAGAGAGTGTAAGTGCTTTTGTAGGAAAAGGTTACTCAGGCAGTCAGCATCCCTGCAGTGCTCCTGCTTTTGTGAATGTGCAAGTCTGTCCTCTTGGTGGCACGATAGCAGAGGAGTGGTTTTTGAGCAAAAATGCAGCTTTCTGCAGAGGGACATTGGTTTCACTGCTGAGTCAGGTACAGGGAGGTCAGCTAGCCTTTAAGAAGGTTCCTCGGGGCGATGGTCCAAACCGGGGTTGCCCACACCAGGACTGGGGTGTGGAAATACTCACTTTTCATCAATGCCCAGTGGGACCACAGTGTGCACGATGCAGGGCTAGCCCCCTCCAAAGTTGTGGGAGCCATCGGGGGCCGTGACTGGGTGTTTGGTCCTGGGCCTTGATCATCACAGCCTAGGTGACTTCTGGGCCATACCCTGCAGTCAGAGGTTGCTTTAACATACAGGACGTGATAAATGCCTGTATTTATCGTGTAATTACGGTAGTGGGCATTTGGGAGTGCTAGAAGATATGAAAAGGGCGGGGGGGAGGGGTGCTTTAAACCTAAGGGTCTACTTTCTAATGATCATTTTCCCTTTAAAATTGTCATAACTTAGATCCTTGACTCAAAGACGATACATTAATGACTTTGTAAAATTACTTAATGAAAATTTAATTGCCCATATGCTCTACTGGTTTTCCTATAAGTCACTTGAAATACAGAGGTTGAAAGTACCAGTATATAAATCATTTCATAATTAATTACTAAACTTAATCTAGGACAATGGTTCTCCACCTTCCTAATGCTGCGACCCTTTAGTACAGTTCCTCATGTTGTGACCCCAACCATAAAATTATTTTCCTTGCTACTTTGTAACTGTAATTTTGCTACTGTTATGATTCGTAATATAAATATCTGATATTCAGGATATATTTTCATTGTTACAAATGGAACATAATTAAAGCATAATCACAAAAGCAATATGTTGTGAAATGTTTATTTCTAATGACAAATGAAATTTTGTCTTGAAGCATGGTATGATACGGGTAAGTCTTCACCCCAGGTACTTGTACGTGGGCGTATCTGCATGTGGGCAGACCCGCCTGACACGGATAGAGGAGCAGTGTCTCAGTTCCTAAGACCGGAAATAGTGTTTTCCAATGGTTTTAAGCGACCTCTGTGAAAGGGTCATTCAACCCCTAAAGGGGTCACCACCCACAGGTTGAGAACCATTGATCAAAAGAGAATCTTTGAATACATAGTCAGAAAAGGTTTCAACAAATCCCTTGTTCAGTGAGTTATTACATAAAATAACCTTTCATTTAGTGGAGCAGGTGTGGATTCAAACCAAACCTGCCACACCAAGTCAGTGCTAACTGGTAGCGACCCATAGATCGGGTGCTACCGAAACCAAATCTTTACCAGAACAGGGCAGCCTTGTGTGTCTCTCATAAACCATCAACCTTAAGATTAGTAGCCCAAGACTTAACTCACTGCACGACCCCAGCTTATATCCTTTTAGAAACGATACTTGCTTTTCACCTGTAAACACGTTTCACCATTTTTCCCCCACTTTCATACTTTCCGCCAACAGTACTGAATATTCCCAGAGTGATGATATGCTTCATCAGTAGTTTCTTTACAACCTCATCCCATCCCATCACATCAAATGTGCTTATTGCATAATTTATTTTAAAAGAGGGTGGTCTGCTGAGAAAATATAAAGACACCTGATTTCACTGACTGACTCTTTTTTGTAAAGCAATGGTAGGATTTAATAAGCATTTTTTTAACTTTTTAATTCTAGGAAGGCAGAGGTATAGTTTTTATACCCAATCAGGATTTAAATAGAAATGTGGTGCATATTACTCAGCCAGTTCTTAGAATAAGATTATTCTGAGCTATTAGCTGAGAGGGTGTTTTAGCAGTTTTTATGAGGTCTTGGGGCATTTCGTGATGGGGTGTTTTTCTTTATTGACAGGTGCATTCCTTGCAAAGGCTCGAGGTTTCCTCCCACCCTTCCCCGACCTGCTGTGGCCATTTTACCCTTTAAACTCCCGTATTGTCAGACTGCAACAGAGAAAGGACAAATGGAGGTATGTGGTCATCCGACTTTGACACTGAATTTGATAAGACCGCTGGGATCAGTGGGTGGTGGTGGTGTTAGCTGCTGTCTGTTCTGACTTAAAATGACCCTATGTACAACACAACAAAGCACTGCTTGGTTTTCTGTGAGCCTCACGATTGTTCCTGTGTGTGGATCCATGCTTACAGCCACTGTGTCCACCCATCTCACGGAGGGTCTTCCTCTCTTCAGCCTCTTAATGTATCAAGCATGAGGTCCTTCTCCAGGGACTGGTCCCCCTGCTAACCAATCAGAAGTCCATGAGGCGAAGTCTTAACTATCTGCGTTTCTAAGGAGCATTCTGGCTGTCCTCTTTCCAAGGCAGATTTGTTCCTTTTTCTGGCAGTCTCGGTGTATCCCAGTGGTTCTCAACCTGTGTGTCACGACCCCTTTGGGGGTCAAACGACCCTTTCACAGGGGTCGCCTAAGACCATCGGAAAACTATTTCCTCACTAATGGACATTCTCAGCTGTGTCCTCTCATTCTTCAGTTGTGCCGCATCAGCGGATGAAGGTCCTGAGAGCTTTACTGGATTGACATCATTGAGATTGCCTCTACTTGGAAGAGGCAGCTCTTCTGCATCTGTATTTTCAGTGCCAGCCTGGGGCCATATCTTCCGGCTCTGTGTCATGTTTGCCCGGCGTTTGGAAGGCTTTCACTTTTCACTGGCTTTGTTGTTTTTGGATAGTAGATCGGCAGGTCCTTCTTCCTAGTCTGTTCCCACTGTGAAAGCCTTGCTGAAGCCCATTCGTCCTAGGCCACCCTGCCGGCATAGTGGAACAGAAACCGTGTGACACGCTGATAGGTGGGTGGTGGCAGGGGTGACAGAAGTTTGCTTATTGATGTCATTGCTTTCCAAGAACCTTGTTGCTCTGACAGATGAGTCCTTCAGGGTTGCTAGGGTGAACCCTTCAGGCCCATGGCAACGTCTGAGGGACTGTCTCCACACATGGCGCACCCTAGGCACCCTGCTTACCTCACCCTCAGTCGAGCCCTTAGTTTGCCTCCTCAGACTCCTCGTTAATCTTTCAAGCTGTTGTCAATCTGATCCCCTACAGACAAGGAGCCCTGGTGGCATTGTGTGTTGGGCTGCTATTCTTAAACTCAGCAGTTTGAAACCTCGGGGATAGACCCGGCTTTCTTCTCTTGTAAAGAGTTACGGTCTTGGAAACCCAACCGGGCAGTTGTACCCTGTGCTATAGGGTCACTATGAATCAGCATTGAGAGATACACGTGAAATCCATTTCAGTTTCTGATAATCCACCAAACTCTTTGTGATGGCTAGAAAACTGTTAGAATGCTGCACGTCTCCCCCACCCCACCCCGACAGCAAGAAGCTAAGTCAAGCCTTGTGGCACACTGGGGTTTGAATTGTAAAATAAGCTTTAGAAAATAAACGGAAACACATGTGCTAAGATAATGACTTAACACCGCAGGGGTGCTAAGGTAATCGTTGCCTCTATGTCTTTTCTTTTTCTTTCTGTTTTTATAGGAAGAATTTTGGCGTTCGGTTATGTTTCACAACTACCTTGATTATTTAGCTAAAAATGACTATGAATACGAAGAGAGCATTAAGGACCAAGCAACAAGAGAACAACAGGAGCTTTTATTGAAAATGCTTGCGGTGAGTAAAATCACTACTGACAAAAATTAATGGTCAGCTGTTTTCCGTAGGTTCGGTGTCTGAACAGTCAGTAAACCAGCACCCGCTCCCCAGGCTGGCACTCTGAAGTCATAGGCAGCGGTGGGCTGGTTTGTTTTCCTTCAGTTAAAAAAGCAGGTTTACTTTTAACAAAGTGCTCACAAAGTTAAACACTTTCACTTAAATGTGTTTTGTTTTGTTGTTGTTGAGAATGAGTACGGCAAAGCACACCCCGGTGTGACCACTCCTGCCCGTGCAGACCCTTTCCGAGTCCGCGCAGCCTCATTGACATCAGTCACACCCCATCTTTTCAAGTTGCTGAGATCAATTTGATCCCATAGAGACACTTCCCAAAAGAATGTAATGCTCAAGGCAGCCCCCCAGCCTTTTTTAAGTAGTAAAGCTAATCTGTTATTCTGTTTACGAAGACTCCAGGGGCTGTTTTTGGTTTAAGGCTTAAAGATTATCTCAGGGCAATAAATAGCTGTCAAGAGTACATTCGGGCCCCCCCCCCCCATAGTTTTAGAAAGTTCAGACTTCACAGAAATGTTTAGTTATGTTCTGCATTCCATTCCCTCCCTTTTGATCAGGATTTTTTTTAATGGAATCTTGCATCAAAATGTTCAGTAATAGTAGCCAGCTACTATCCATTTCTTCTGGTCTCATGGCAGAGGGGCCAGTCGTTCATAGATATGGACGGTATTTAACTCTGGAGGTACCTTTTTAGCAACAAGCGACTGTTGTGTGTTTAGCCCACGGCTGCAGTGAAGTCGCGCAGTGCAGCACAGGCAGGGTTGCTAGAAGCTCCTGGGATTCATGATGTGTTCCGCTTGGATTTGCTTTGGGGTAATTGGGCGTTCAGAAACCTTTTACTATTGCCACCGTTTTCACCAGCCCTGCGTTCAGTTACCTTACCCCAAAGGTAAGGTGAACCACAGTTTAAGAAGCTCTGCACAGTAGTCCTTAAAAGGATGACCCTTCCACTAGTCCCCCCACATTCCCTTCTCAGCCCGAGCAGCTCAGCATCACCTGGGAACTGCTTAAAATGAAAATTCTCAGATTCTACCCCAGGTGGCTTAACAGGCGCCTGGGAGGCCGAGGGGAGGCTGATGTTCAGCAGTTTGGGACTCACTGCTCTTACTCCTGCTGTTAGGAAGCATGGCAAATCAAGTTTGAGGGCAAGTTGCATTTAGACCTAAGTCTAAGAGTGGGCCAGTCTTATGCATTTGGGTGAGATTTTTAGCTATGCCTTCCTTAGGTCATTCTCCCTGTGAACTGGGCAGTTAAGAGTAGTACAGGTTGGTCTATCGCTAGTGACCAGGTGTAGTGCCTTTTATATTTTAGTACATTTATCTTTAGAATAAGGCATCTTCAAGTTCCTATATTGGTATCCTCACTCCAGGTTGGTATATGGGGGAGAGCTTAGTACGTTATCTTTGTTGCTCATCTTGCACCAGATGGTAAGCCCCTTGTGAGCAATGACAAAGTTCCTACTACATAGTAAACAAATGGAAAACCCTCTGACATTGGTTGGCTTCACACTCCCAACCTTTAGGTTAGTGCATTGTGAGCTCCTCAGGGACCCCGGCCCTTAGCCTAGTTGCCAGTGAGTGCATTCCAAGTCCACAAGACCAGTAGTAGAACTGTGCTCCTTTGCATTTCCCTAGCTGCATCTCTGGTTGGGTCCCAAACACCAGCCTTGCATGGTGGGGCCTCCAGATGGAGAAGCCTGTTTATGGAAAAGGGATCCCAGGAAACTTAAAGAACTACAAGTGGATATGTCAGGCACCCATGATGAAGGACCAGATGTGTTGTTTCAGTAACAGCAGCAATCCTTTTTGCCCTGTGAATTGGGAGACCCGTAATAATCTTTGGAGAGTCCAATTTCTCCACTTTGACTTCATTGGATTGCTAAAATTTAGACTGCAAGGAAAATAGTGCTTTATGTTATGAATTGGGAGAGAAAGATGGGGCTTTCTACTCCCTTAAAAAGTTATAGTCTAAAAAGAAAAGAGTTATGGTTTGGGAAGCTCCCAGGAGCATCTTACCTTGTCCTATAGGGTTGCTGTGAGTCAGCACCCCATGGCAGTGTGTTTAAGGGTTTCTTGGTTTATATTGAAAATTGCCCCCCACTCCTATTCACTTAGTAGCAGTTATATGCCAATTCTGAACAAAGTAATAACTGCTTTGTTTGCAAGTACTTGTTTTTCAAATTGCCTACACTATGCGTTTTGTGGGGTAGAGCAGGGATAGGAACAAATTGGAGAAGACCGCCTTTGAGTTTAAGAAAGTCTCTTGCTTTCCTTCCAATTAATGTCTTGAAACCATATTCCATATTTTATTCACTCTAACCCACTGTTGGAGCCCCTCGGAGGTGCAAACAGTTAATGCACTCCGCTGGCAGTCAGAAGGTTAGAGGTTTGAGTCTATCCCCGGACCCCCGTACAATGGAAGAAAGGCCTGGTAATCTACTTCTGAAAAAGTAACCACTGAAAGCCCCCTGGAGCACAGCTGTACTCTAGCACACGAGGGTGCCATGCAGTAGAATTGATTTGAAGGCAACTGAATGTTTGTGCCACTGAGAAAAAGGTGCTGCCAATTAACTTCTGACCCACCAGCAATTATACGACACAGCCCAATTTCAGAGATGTTGCATACGTGTTAGAACAATGTGTGGTATATGGAATGTGTTTTTCCTTGGTTTTACCCGTAGTGTCCATCTTTTTATTATTTTATTTATTTGTTTGTTTGTTGCTTAGTAAATTCCACACACCACACCCACACCACACCCCTGTTTGTTTGTTTTTCCGGTTAGCTTTCGTGTAAACTGGAGAGGGAATTTCGATGTATGGAACTTGCTGATCTGATGACTCAGAATGCTCTGAATTTAGCTATTAAGTATGCCTCTGGCTCTCGGAAAATAATATTAGCCCAAAGACTTAGTGAACTGGCAATGGAGAAGGCAGCAGAATTGGCAGCGGCCCAGGAGGAAGAGGAGGAAAGAGAAGAGGCTTTCAGGGGAAAGCCGAATACTAGGTGAGGGGAAAAAAAAAATTTACTTGTTTGCATTTTCTTTCAAAGCTCTGAATATTAAATTGGTCTGTGCAGATCTCTTTATTGAGTAATTCTGTTGGGTTTTAGTTACTCTAAAACTGCCTCAGAGTGGAGCCAGTCCAGGCTTGGGAGCCAAGTTGAAGAAGAGGCAGAGGCCGAGGACAGCGGAGAAGCTGATGAAGTTGAAGAAACCACCAACCTACGTAAGCAGGGTCAGAGACAGTTCCCAGGCAGGAAATGACGGAAGGTGTGGCTTTCCCCCATGGTACCTGGTGGGGGGAAATCAAACACCCACATTTAAGAACTATTTCTAGTTGTTTAGTGGAAAAGATGGTCTTGTCCTCCTTGTTGACATTGTGCTGTTTTGTCTTCATTGTTCTATAGGACAGAACTCATTTTCCCAAAGTACAAACTCCTCTGATGTGCCAACTGTGAAGTCAGGTGAGAAATAATTGTAAGATTACAATACCAGTTTCACAAGCAGTCTTTAGTGATACATATGCTCAGCTACGCTGATTTATTAAATTCGAGATGTGTGAAACTGGTCACTTAACAGATGTTTGAAGTGCTTCTTGTGTGTCCTCTCTAGCTACGTGAGGTCCACAAGGCAAGCAGACACTTCTGGTCTTTTCCCTGCCACTTCAACCTGGCAGGCGGGGGCATGGGGCAGATGGGAGCCGGAATGGGGAAAGCACTTGGGCTCAGGGAACAGCGTGTGTGAAGGCACCAGGCAAAGAGAAGCAGTGCTGGTGCTTTGGACATGATGGCAGGAGGCAGATCTTAGGGACAGAGGGAGGCCGTGGGCTTCATCATGGGGTCACTGGGGCTCTGTTGTCATTTTCAAGCGGCGACATGGCAGGCTGTGGTGAGAAGTGGATAGGAGGAGACAATCGAGGCAGTCCAGGAGAGGTCGAATAGTGACTTTGGCTTGACTGATAGAATGGGGAGAATTAAAGACGCTTTTCTGAGGGAAATAGAGAGAGTGGGTGTTCAGCCAATGGGAAAAAATGCCTCGGTTGTTGGCTTGGGACCTTGTGTGAATGATGATTTACTGAGAGAAGCACTTGGAGAAGTGGGAAGTAAGGAATCTTTGGTCCAGTGGACTCTCGCATGGGCAATTGAGTGTTTGGATCAAGAAGTCAGAAAGGGAGTCTGTGTTACAGATAGAAAATGGAAAGTTGTTGGCATGAATATAGCATTAGAACCATGGGCGTGAAAGAGGGAGCATTGGCAGAGGATGTAGAGTGAGAAGAGAAATGGGCTGAACCCTGGGGGAGCCCTAGCATTGGAACAGGAAGTAGTGAGGGAACCACCCATAGAGCATGAGATCAAGGGTCCAGAGAAGGAGGTGGGCCAGGAGAATGGCGTCTCAGAAGGACCAGCCAGCCGAGTGGCCTGCTTCCGAAAGGTCAGATACCATGAGGATTGAAAAATATCCACCAGATGGCTGTGTGGAGGTCACTGGGGCTCGAGCGAAAGCAGATTCTGTAGGTAGTAGAGCTAGCAGCCAGGCTATGCTGGATGGAGGAACAAAAGGACAGTGAGGAAATGGGAGCATCCACATAGATAGCGCTTTAGGAATTGGCTTTATAGGAGAGGTAAGAAGAAGTTGGCTGGAGGGGGTGTCTTTCTATTGCTTTGGGGGATTTATTGAGAGCCTTGAACATCCAGTCAAGAGGGTAAAGTCATGGGTGGGAAGGGGAACCATTGAAAGCTGTCTTGAGAAAGCAGGGGAGGTAGGATCCAGAGTGTAAACACGGGGTTAGCCTTGGCTAAACTCGGGACCGTTCTTTCAGGGTAACAGGAGAAGAGAGTGCCGTGCACACAGTGCGTTGAGTTTCTTAGTGGCAAAATGAGTTGGTACCTGTCTGGTCATCTTTGTTTTGTCTCAGAACAGAAGGAGGTCGTCTGTAATTGTTCATAGTTTTAAAGTTGGAAAGTACATTTATTTTCACACGATGTATATTTTAAGTTTCCCATGTACTGTTAGTAGAATCAGAGTCATCTATTTTTTTTCATCCATATTAAGAAGGATATCTTTCTGCTTGTGAAAGGTGCTGTTACCTCCAGCCACCAAGGACGCGCAAACCCCTTCAAGGTAAACACTTTCCAGTGACATTGTCTGTTGTTTAAAGGTGTCCCCGTGCAGATGAGTATTTTCAGATGACAGGATGACCCTCCCAGAGTGAAGTAGGTCATGGTAGGGCAATGGGAGAATGCAGCACTAGCTCACACTTGGGATTCAAATAATAGTTTCTACTTACTGTACCTTCTAAGGACCAATGGTTTTGAAAGATAGTGGTTTTTCAGGAGTGAGAAGGGTACAGTGCTTTGAGAATATGTGTATCAGTCCTCATGTAGATTGTACTAACTGTACGGGCAGTACCAAAAAGTGAACTATAGCTTCTACGACAACACTTTAAAAGTTGAAAGAAACATGAGTATCTTCGGGTTGTTGTTTTCCCTCTCTTTAAACATAAAATATTAAAATATGTTTGCTCTTTAGGTGATGGCCAATTCCAAAGAGCCAGCCATTTCCACGAATATAGCACACTCAACTAATATTCTAGATAATATGCACAAATCCTCCAAGAAATCCATTGCACTGAGTCGAGCGGCAAGTAACGAAAAGTCTCCAGTGATCAAGCCTCTAATTCCAAAGCCAAAGTCTAAGCAGGTACTCTCTCAGCTCCTCCCAGTGAGTGGTCTGTCTGTCTGCTGTCAGCTTGCTCTCTGTGTCCGGCGTGAGGCCGGAGGAGCTCGTTGTTTGTCGTTGATTGCCTAGTGGAGCAGTGGTTCTCCATTCTGACTTGGCTTCAGCATCATCTGGTCACGTAACATGTTGTTAATTGCTATCAAGTCTTTGGACAGCTGACCGAAAGACTACCTGGTCCTATGCCATCCTCACCAACTCTGTTTTGCTTGAGCCCATTGGTACATAGACATTGTGTCAATCCACCCTTAGGACCTTCCTCAGTGTTGGCTGATCCTCTGCTTTTCCAAGCATAATGTCTTCTTTAAAAGACGGGCTTAGAGACATCTACAGCCTCGTTCTGAAAATTGTAAGTTGGCTTATAATATCACCCGTGAGTGGTGTGTTCCCTAAAACAATGATGTACATGAGACCAAAAGTTCAACATCTACCCAAAGCAAAGGCAGAAGGTCAGGAGCGAGGGAAGTGAGATCAGCGGAGACCAAGTGGACCCTGGAAGTAATGAGAATGCTGGACACATTGTGGAAATTGTAACCAATGCAACGCAACAATGTGTGTGAAAATTGTGAGCAGGGAACCTAGTTTGCTGTGTGAACTTTTATCTAAAAATATTTTTTGAAGAAAGCAATACACATACATATGCAGGCCCCAGGGACTCAGTCATTTATCGTTTGTTTTTTATTTTTTTAAACAAGTTTCCCGGTGGTCCTGATACCTATGCTGGCTTGATAATGACTGGCTTAATAGTCACTCCTTGTCCTGTATTCTGCTCTTGCCTCCTTTAAAATTACGCCCACCCTTATCATCGGTCAAATGGATCTCCAGGTTAACTTTTCCACTTCATATGATTTTACCTATTTAGAAAACATGAAATTTGGAGAATAGCTCTTTGGTTTTTCTGTGTGGGTACAAGTTTATTTAACTGAAAACCTCCACACATTTACACGTTAGTATAAGAATTTTTTAAAAAATTATAAACGTTTCTTCACATTGTTCAAAACCTGCCTGTGACTTGTAAAATCGCACCAGGTCTTGCTGCTGGATTCGTGTTTGTTTTTACAGGTATCTGCGGCCTCCTTTTTCCAAAAAGCAACTTCCCAAGCTGGTAAGACTGATGAAGCGAAAGAAGACAGCGCTAAAAAGTCGTCCTCTGAGACCCCAGCAGTGTCTCCTCAAAACAGTGAGAGCAAAAGGTCTGTCTGTGTAGAAGTTTCGAGTCCCTCAAAGATCCTGCCCTGACAATGCACAAAATTGTACAACTCCATTATTATAAATAATAATGCATCAACATGGTGCTGCGTGGTCACCTGTAAGGTTTAAGTATTAGTATTGAGAAGGGGAATCTTGTCTCAAGATGCTGAAGGGTAGGTGGGAAGGAAAGTTCTGGTTTTTAATCAGTGACTTGCATGGAGAGGAGGAGAGTTAGTCTCGGGAACTCACAGGGACCTTTCTGCCCTGTGCTGTAGGGTCACCGGAAGTTGGCTTTAACTCGATGGTGGCGAGTTTTGTTTGTATTGAGAGGCATTATAACATAATTGTGAGAAATGCGGATTTCAGAGGCTGACTGCTTGGTCTTGAATGTTAGCTCCCCTGGGTGGCCTTGGACAAGTTACCGCCTCCCATTTGCCCATTTTTAAATGGGTACAGTAATAAGCCGGTACACCCACAATTTACACATTAAAATATGCTTTGGTGAGTCATATGTATGTTTTGAATCAATATGCTTTGGGGGAGACCTCATATTTTATCATTATTAAATGATAGTTTTAGTTCATTTCTTGTTTCTGGGTAGATAATATATTTTAGAAACACTTGCAATGTAAAGTAAACCTCTTTCTGTCATACTACTTCTCTCCAGCAACAGTTTCTTTTCTTTTTTTTTTTCCTCTTTTTTTTTACCGCCCTCTCCCCATTCTTCCCGCCCCGCCCGCTGTCCCAGTACCAGTTTCTAAGACCAATGTCTTACCCAAGAGTAAGCCAAAAAGTATTGCCACAAAATAATGAAACACAAAGCTATTGTTTCTCAACATGTCTTCCATACAACTCCCGAAAACGGTGTTCTAACTTTGCTCAAAGAACTGTGCTCTTTGATTTACGCCATGCCAAAATGACGGCGGAGGCACCTCGGGGACCCCGACTGTGTTCCTTGTCAGTCTTCTGTGAATCTGGAGAGGGGCACCCAGCGTGAAGGGGCGAGATCAGGGCCATCGGGTGAATGGCTACCCGTAGGAACGAGCAGTGCACTGCTGTGGTGGGAACCTTCCTCTGCGGTTTTCCTGCCCTTTGTCACAAATGCAGTGTGTCATTTTCACAAAACTTCTTTCTAATAAGACCCTGCGGGCATCGTGTGTCCTTTGAGGAAATTTATCAAGGTTACCTTAGAGTTTAAAAAAAAAAATTGCCCTGGCTTCTGACCGAACCTCTGGTCCTTGAATAGAACGAAACCCCCTAACCTTACTTATTGAGAGAACGTGTCCTTCCACATAAACGAAGGGCCTTAGTCATCGTTTTACATTGCACACAGTGTTACGAGGTGCCGTCAAGTTGGCTCCAGCTCATAGCAAACCCAGGTACAGCAGAAAGAAGCACTGGCTGTAGCATAATGTCTTAGCTGGTGATCCAAGTTCGTTGCTAGTCTTTGGCTATTACAAATGAATAACTGTATGGATGCCATTTCTCAAATATGCAAATACAGTTAAAAGGCAGATTTCTCTATGCTTTGGTTTAATGTACACTGGTATTTTCAAGAAGTATGGACATATTTATTGCCCTGCATTGATGTTGTGTTGGTTTATACGGCCCCAGGAATTTGAAAGCTCCTATTTGTTTGTTTTTAAATAAATCATTTTATTGGGGACTCTTACAGCACTTATAACAACCCATTTATCAATGATATCAAACACATTCATACATATATTGCCATCATCATTCTCAAAGCATTTTTCTACTTGAGCCCTTGATATCAGCTCCTCTTTTTTCCTCCCTTCCCTACCCTCCTTCCCTCATGAACCCTTAATAAATTATAATTTATTATTTTCATATCGCACACTGTTCGCTATCTCCCTTCACCCACGCCTCTGTTGTTCGTTGAGGGGGGCCAGTTATAAGTCACTCATTGTGATCGGTTCCCCCTTCCTCCCCCGTCTTCCCTGACTTTCTCCTTGCCCTCATGGTATCACTACTCCCATTACTGTTCCTGAGGGTTTATCTGCCTTGGAGTCTTTGTGTGGAGAGCTCTTAGCTATACTAGTGTACATGCGCCAGTCTAGCCAGGTTTGTAAGGTAGAACTGGGGTCATTACGGTGGTGGTGGGGAGTATTAAAGAACTAGAGGATGTTGTATGTTTTGTCAGCACTGTGCTGCACCTGGCTGCCTTGTTCCTTCCTTGTAACCTTCTGTGAGGGGATATCCAATTGCCTACCGATGGGCTTTGTGTCTCCACTCCAACCCCCTCGTTTACATGATTGTTCTGGGTCTTCTGATGCCTGATACCTGATCTCATCGACAGCTCGTGATCACACAAGCTGGTGTGTTTCTCCATGTGGGCTTTGTTGCTTCTGAGCTAGATGG